CTGTGTAGAACCAACATGCTTGTGAGAGATGGATACTGAACAAGTAGATCAACAGCAACAAAAAAATGTGTGATGCAGATTGTGATAGGAGCCATGAAGAAAAAGACCCAGGACACGTGCAAGAGGATACAGGAGAAAACATGTTTTGAATGGAGTGGTCCAGAAGGAAAGACTTGCTTCTCCTGCCCCAACTCAGGACATCCCTTACCTCCCCCTTCCTTCCTAGTTCATCTTCCTCCATGGCTTTTACCACCACCCACCCAATATATACTCTGTTTGTTTGTGTTTTACCTGCATTTACTCACTTGAATGCAAGTTTCATGAAGCAGGGATTTGTTCAACACCACAATATGCCGCCACATGGGAATTAATATTCATTGACTAAGTCAATGCATGAATGAATGGGTAGATGCCCTCTCTCTTTTTTAGAGAGGAGGGGATTAGTATTAAGAACGTGGGGAAGGGTGTTTATTCTTAAACTAAACCCATAGAGAAGAATAGCACTCCCGTGGGAAAGGAGGGATGTACCTTAAGTGAGTTGGAGAAGATTACACTGTAACAGAAGTCAGGGTCTCTGTGAGTAGGAACTTAGTCCTATTGGATAAATAGTATTTAGACATTGTAATTTCAAGGGAATTCTTAGGAAAATATTGGAAATAGTGGATCTAGGGTAAGTAGGATCTTACTGATCAGTCTATAGCAAAAGATTTCCAAGGTCAGCATGGTGGTGGGGATGTGAAAATTGTTCATTGTTCAGGCCTTAAGGACAAAATCCTGGGGCTTAAGCCTTTTTGAGTTGAGAAGTAAGCCTTGCTGGAGGTCGAAGAGAGAGAATCTTTGAGGTCCAGTTATCAAGAATGGACACCAATGGATAATCAGTCATCAGATATGGAAAGTAGAGGAAATGCAGTTGGAAAAGATTGGATTAGGCATAAAGTGCATCCATTCTGAGATAAAGAATATATTCTGACATTCAGTGTCACTTCTAATAGGTAAGGTGGCAGTGACAGGGAGTTAGAACGTCCATGAGCTTGGTTCCATCAATATTAGGAACATCTTTCATTCCAATAATTTTCTGGCTCATTGTGCAGAACGTTTCCTGAGAGTGCATACGAAGTATGTGTCATCTAGAACCTCTTTTTGTCTCTAGGTACAACAGTCATTTGAAAAACCAAATGTTAAAGCCCAGATGCCCACCATTGAACGACTGTCTATGACAAGATATTTCTACCTCTTTCCTGGCAATTGAAAATAGTAAGTATCAAACGTTGTTGCTGGCAGGTAAAATAAATGGGAGATTTAATATAATATATATTAAGGATGAGGTCTGAGGTCCAATGGCCAATGACAGCCCATTTCTCGCATGGTCAGATTTGTGTTCCTTGTTGATGTAGTTGGGTGATTAGCTGCTATTTTTTACTCTACTTATATGCATTTGGATATCTCTCCTTCTCCATAATTATCAATCAGTCAATCAATCAATCAGTCAGGCAAGCCAAACCAAGATAGGAAGTAATAAGCAATGAAGGACAAGGGTAGCAGCTATTAAAATAGAGAGGTACTCAGACTTCTCTTATTACTTATATTCATCTCTCTTTCTCTCTCTCTCTCTCTCTCTCACACACACACACACACACACTGAGTTACCAAATATTGCCTCAGATCCTAAAAATACAGAAACCAGAGAAGATGACTCCGGAGAAAGCAGGACTGTGGTCCTCTTAGTACAGGTGTCACATTACTGACACTGACTACCATTACCATACAATATCAAACACACCCTGGGTTGCAAGTTTTGTGTCAGTGCTAACTCTGGTTCTCTGACTCTTCTCACAGTGTAGACCACAGAACATTCAGTGTCAGTTCTCAGATTCTTAATTACCACCCAGAAACCTTTTCAATCACCCATGTTAACATTTAAACAACTTTTTGGTCAAAATATTTTAGAATGAGTATGTCAAGATTTGACCCAACAATTACTTGACTCACTTGTAACAGCTTTATATCACACAATCTTATAAGAATATTGTGAATTTCCCTCTCAGAAGCATAATTAAATTGTACATCATAGTAAACTCTATCTCAATACTTTAAATATGTACCCATCATCTGCTACCCCTGGTTTCTGACACCTTGGTTGCATAAGTGCAAAGATACTTCAAAAGAACAGCTTTTAGTGCCTAATTAGTCCAATAGACCCAAATTTAGGGATTGAATTATTTATTTGACTAATATTTATCAAGCACTTTGTATGTTCCAGGTTCTATTCTGGATACTTGGAATATGCCAATGAACAAAATTAATGGAATCCTTGCTCTCAGAAAGCTCATACTCTAGAGAGTGAAGACAGACTCTAAATACACAACAAGTAAATATATTATATGTCAGAGAGTGGTAAGAGTTAAGGAAAAAAATTTAAAAAAAGGCCAAAGGGACACAAAAAGGTGGATACTGTATTGTTATAGATACATTATTCAGGAAAGGCTGTTTTACAGTGATGAAATGATGAAACCAGAACAGAGAACAGGCAGAGCAGGAGAGTGAGCCTGTGATTCTATGCAGGAAAAGTATCTCAGCACAGGAGACAGGACGTGCAAATGCCCTGAGGAAGAAATGTGTTTAAGATGTTTAAAGAACTGCAAGAAGGCAGTGAGCTGAAGGAGAATGAGAGTGGGGAACATGGCAGAGTAACATTCAGAAAAATGGTGGGAAGCTTGATCACATGAGCCGTGGTGATCAAAAGGCAAATGTTTTAAAATATTTTATCCTGAGTCATGTAGGAAATCCTTCAAATGCTTTTAAACAGAGAAATGACAGAATCTAATGCAGATTTTGCAAAGATCCCTCTGAGTACTTTTTGGTGAATAGAGTATAAAGGTTAAGAGATAGATGCCAAGGGAAACAGCAAAAGTGTACAGAATAAGATCAGAGAAGCATCATGATAAGGTACGGATTGAAAGCTACCAGAGATTACTACTTTAACTTTCTGTTCTTTTCCTCTTCTGCAGAAAATCACAGGCAGTCTGGCCCTTTATCAACTTCAAGAAGCACCATTTATTACCAGTACATTACACATGTTTAACTTCTGGCTTTCAGTAAAAATGAAAACAAGTGAACTGTGTTTTGGGGGTCTTCTAAGACAGAATAGAATTTCAACTCAAATGGCAGATGAGTGGAAATGAAGTGGAAGAAGTAAACTGGATTTTCTAGCTTTATGACTCATATCATATTTGCACTTTATTGAGTGAAGGAAACTGACCATGATTTGGTGTCAGCAACAGAGTGAAAAAAGTTGGTGCCCATCTGGATATGAGAACTATAAACTGGTCAGCTTCTTTTTTGCACATCCATCAAATCCTGACTCTAGAATGGTCCAGAAGAAGCTTTCTAATTTATCCTTTAGCCCAAATCATAATGAACTCATTTATTTTCTTCAGCAAGTTATTATGATTTTAGCAAATTGTACCTATGTATCTTTCTTTCTTCTTGCCTATAAGTTAATTCACTTTCTTGCTGATTATCTCTTTTTAGACTTCCAAGCTTCAGCAAAATTGTATTACTTAACAAACACTTGGTTATTGTTTGAAATAAATTGAGATTTTGGTTTAAGATGGTGTAACCTGAGTGTATTTGTATATAAATAAAAATGTCATTAGAAAAAGCACAACAGAGAGGATGGGGAGTGTCAGCACTGGAAGAATGAATGTTAAAATTTCTGGAAGGATGAATGTTGGTAAAGGAATTTTGCCAACATACACACCTGAGCTACGAAGTAAGGGGATGTACCACTTTTGCTACATACACGCAGAATGCTGAATAATATTTTAGTGCACACTGAACTGAATTAAAAAAATTAAAGATGTTCTAGTTGTCAAACATAAACAATAATAGTTAATATTTATTACTGTATGTCAGGATTATTTTTAAGATTTTGATTATTTTAAGGGTTTTTTATATATAAATAACTACTTTAAACCTCACAAAAGCCATGTAATTACTATTAATATCCCCATTTTACAGATAATGAGACAAAAGGAAGTAGGTTCTAGTCTTTTTCGATGGTTGTTTAGCATTCAGTTGTGGATTTGTTATAGTCCTGAGGAGAGGGACGCTCGTGGTCCTACCACCCCTCCATCTTGACCGGAAATCTCTCTCTTATGTATCTTGTTGTCCTCTTTGATGCCTCTGTTATCAGGTTCCCCACAATGGCTCCTGGTGGCTTCAGGCTCACACCAGCCCTACAAGGGCTAATGCTCATGGAAAGAGGAGAAACAAAAGGAAATGGAGCTAAAGTGATGTGTCCAAAGTCACACAGTTAATAGATGACCACACCAGGATTTGAATGCAACCTTACCTGCTCTGGAATCTGCATTATTAACCACTGCACTGCATTGCTTCTCCAAAGAAAGGAGAGACTGAAATTGTATGCCTTTTAAATTGTAAGGGTTAGTTGAATTTTTAATTGTAAGGGTTAACTAACATTACAAAGATTTATGATGTTTATTTTCCTGGACTTTGCTTGTCCGCATGGAAACACGAGGCACACCACAAAGATCCAAAAATACAGAGGAGGTTCAAAATGGCTGAAAAGAAAGCAAAGCTCACTCTCTCCCATGAATACATCAAAACTCCATCTACATGTGGAACAGTTCTCACAGTATACCTACGGAACTTTGGCAGAATAACTCGTACAATTGGAACTGCCGGGGAAATAGTCACGAAACCAGGGAGAAGGCAAAAAAATCGCAAGGAAATCTGGGCTGGACCTGCCACCTGGGGAGGGAACAGGGAGGAGGAAAAGTGCCCTCACCCTTGGAAGCCCCCTCTCCTGTGGGGTGGTCAGCTGGGTCAGAAAGGAGGCTTCAGAGATTCGAAGGAGGAAGCAGCAGCCTCTGGGCAGAGGGAACAGAGAGGCACTGGAATAGAGGTTATGTGCAATTCCTAGCCCACGACGCGAGCTGGCTGGTGCAGGCCGGGACTGGGTGCTGGAGCTGGGGCTTCAGAGGATGGACTTGGGGAGGGGACTGGGGCTGACTGTGCGGAAGCATCCTCAGGGGGCTGGAGTGTTTGCAGAAGAGCCTGGGTCTACCTTAGAAAGCTTCACTGTTGGTGCACGAGGAGGGAGGGCCACAATGCAGCCTGGCCATAGCCACCTTCTCTACTAGCCCAGAGGATATTTCACCATTCTTAAAGCACTCTTGTGGAGGAAAGGGTGGGATCCAGGCATAACAGACTTCTGGGCTTGCCCTGGAGGAGCACAGTGGCTGACAGACAGCTTCCAGGAGGAGGAGGAGGGGCTAAAACATGAACACATCCCCAGGGATAGCACAGCTTTGCAGATGGGACTGAGATTTGAGTCAAGCCCCAGTCAACTCGGGTTGACTGTGCAGAGGCAGCCTCAGGGAGTGTAGTACAGGCTGAGGTTGGGAGTGTGCATAAAATAACCTGAGTCTACCATAGAAATCTCCACTCCTGGCATGCTCCTGGGGCTGGGTGAAAGGTGGCCGACCACAGCGGACTTCTCTGTTAGCCCAGATATTGCTCATCACTCATGTCATCTTGCAGAGGGAGGGGCCAGATCCAGACACAGCAGTCTTCTCAGCTTGCTCTGCTGGGGCATATTCACTGGTGGGAGGATCCCAGGCAAAGGCAGAGCTAAAATCTGAACCCATTCTCAGGAATTGCATGACTTCACAGGTGGGACGAGAATTTGGTCAAGACCCAGGCAACTGTGGTGGGCTTGCTCCACTGGTGCCTTGGTGGACTGGGACATCCAAGAATAGTACTGGTGCATGGTGGGGTCAGGAGTGGTGTAGCGGCAGGTGTGCACATGCGGATGTGGGGCTGGGCACAGGGTTGACCTTGTGGCCCAGAGTGGATCATGGCACATGATGGCACAGGCACTATGGCTGGTCCTGGTCCCTGAGGTCTGTGGACCTACACTGTTGGCTTTGTCGGTGTGGAGCCTGGTGACCAAAGGGCAAGATGCCAGCATTCCCACAGCTGTGACTGGGAAAAGGCAGCATCAACAAACTGCTTTGTAAGCTAGCACAATGAGTGACAGGTGGCACCACAGAGGGCACTTCCCAGTGGACATTGGCTGTGGAGGAAGACTCCGCAGCTCCTTTCCTAGCGGAAGCTATCCAGTCCCACCCATCACACATCACAGCTCAGAAATGGAGCTAGGGGCACCTATTCCAACACAGGGGTGCAGACATGAGCCTGGACAGGGCTGTGATAACCACAGAGCAAACAGGAGGTCTCACTCAACATTCAGGGAAGACTCCAGTCACCACAAAACCAAACACACTCCCAATCAAGAGAATAATAGTCAGCACATACAGGAGAAAGACGTAGCAGCCAGCCATACTAAAACCAGCCCTTGCAACAAAATTTTTA